TCCCTGAAACCTGCTCCTCTACCCTTTACCTTTGCTCTGGCACCAGCAGGCTGTCCCTGCTGAAGCCTGTGGGCACTGAGTATGGCTCCAGCCTAGCCATGTAGCAGCAGTGCAGAGCTGACATGGCTGCTATAGGGCTGGGTTGGAGCTGTGCTCCAGACTGCAGGGAAGACCAAGTCCGCCAGTGTGGAGCAAAGGTCAGGAGGAGTGTGGTGGGGGGGAGGGAAGGGGGTCAAATAAGGGGCATTTGGGGCTTGAGGCTGTGGAGGGAGGAGTGGCGAGGAACAGGCAGCAGCTGTGGCTCCGACCCCAATCCTGTTGCCTGTTCCCTACCACCTCATACTCAATTCTAAGATGGGGGACATCCCCTCCTATATTAAATGGGGAAACAAACCTCATCTTTTGATTGAGTAAATAAAGTAGTTTTCTGAACAGCTTATTGGTCATGCTTACCTTTCCCCATTCTCTGCACCTTGATGCATGAACTTGGTCAAACTGGATTGCTCTTTAGAAGTCTCCGTCATTGAGTGTATGGATGTCCTCAGTCTGAAGCCCAGTCCAACAGAGCCCATATTCCCTATATTAGGATGCCCAAACCAAGCTGGTTTGGCTTCAGCTGACCTGAACAGTATGCAAGTAACAGCAGAGCAGGGAATGGAACCGCGCTAGAACTTAAACCACTGAAGTATCTTCCTTCCATTTGATCACCATAAATGTTCACTTTACATAATTTGGGCTTCACAGTATTAGGCATGATAGAGGTTGTAAGCTTTCTAAAGGAATGGTAACTTCACTAATGTGTGTAATTCTGTTTACCATAACATGTACCAGAATTTTAGCCTGTTGTGTGCATTTAAGAAGGAAAAAATAGAATGGAAAACGCTGTACGTGTACTATATCACTGAACTAATTTTACTGTAAAAACCTTTAATTTTTCTTCACTTTGCATTTTCTCATTACATTATGTATGTAATATATGTATGTTTGTTGTGGTTTTTGTATTGTTTTGGGTTTTTATATTATTTTTAATTTAATTTGATGGTTACAGACAGAATCACCTTAAGGAAAATTAATGGTGGGATGTTGTATTTATTAAATTTTAAGTGATGTACAAAATTTGGATAATAACATCAGCGCTCCACCTGAAAATAGTTGATGGGTCATTTTCTGGTAGTCAGCAGCAAGCTTTGTTGGCTGTAGGAATTGCTTCTGGTTTCCTGTGATGGTTTGGCATGGAAAAATATTTTGGAAAAGCATTGGCAGCTCAGCATCTCTGATGATTAATCCACCTTTTTTAGGAACTGAACTTTAGGGTAACCAGTTTTGAAAAGAACTGACTATTAAAGACCTTAATGCTTCTTTTCTACCTAAGCCAGGGGTAGCCAACTTGTGACACATGTATTTGGCACATGGCAGATTGCAGTGAGCAGAAGGGGATGGTGATCATAGCAGCACTTAGAGGGCATAGGGCTTAACTAGTGGCATGCTTGGACTTAATTGGTGGTATGCCTGCCAAAGACTGGCCACCATGGTCATAAGAAGTCACTGTAGCTGCTGCTCCTGTATTATATGAACACTAATGGGTAAGTGGCCAGTGTAATAAGGAGTGGGAGCAGCAGTGAGTGGTTAATGAAACAATTACTTTATTAAGATGTGGTGTGCATGATGGAAAAGGTCTGAGAACCCCAGTCATAAATTCCAATTTCTGTCTTGGTATATTAAAATACACTTGATCTGAACCAACATTTTTCAGTTACTGAGGCTTAGTTCAGCCTGATCAAGGGGGGAAATACACATTTTCAGATGTACTTGATATTGCCCTAATAGGTACTGTTGTGAAGATGAAACTTCAGTGATTGTTCTGCACCAACAATGAATGGTACTTGGTTATTACTGTAAATATAATTATTGCCAAAATGTTTATAGCTTTTATAAGGGCATTACAAAAAAAGATAATTGTAAATCTAAATAAATTAGTTTGTTGTTATTGTTGTTCTGTGCCCCTACAGCACAGTGGGGTCCTGGTTCCTGACTGAGGATCATAGGCATTGCCACAATAAACATAACTAATTTTAAGTAATGTCTCTTCAGCTGATGCTTTCTGCAACCAGTTTGGGGCCAGAGAAAAATTTTAGAATCAAGTTATAAATATACCCCCCCCCCCCC